CCCCCCCCCCCAGCCTGTTGCCTCACTTCCACGTTACTCAAGAGCCAGGCGGGCCCCCTGGAGATGCATACTTCCTGTGGCTGTCTGTGCCCCTCCCCCAAGGTCTGGCCATCTGTTCGGCAGCCCGTGGCCAGTGCCCAGTGGGTGAAAGGCTCGAAGGAAATAGCCACGGGGTGGGGCCCGAGGTGGCCCAGTGGGTTAGCCAGCTCAGTCCTCAGGCCTCTCCCTGTGTGGCCGTGTGTCCCACAGCGCTATGTTGATGGCGGCATCTCAGACAACCTGCCACTCTACGAGCTCAAGAACACCATCACCGTGTCCCCCTTTTCGGGAGAGAGTGACATCTGCCCACAGGACAGCTCCACCAACATCCACGAGCTCCGGTTCACCAACACCAGCATCCAGTTCAACCTGCGCAATCTCTACCGCCTGTCCAAGGCCCTGTTCCCGCCCGAGCCCACGGTGAGCCCTTCGCCAGGGGGCCCGCTGAGCCTGTCCCGGCTCAGTGCCAGGGGAGCGAGCTGCCGGAAGGCCTCTCCTGAGGGACAAGGCAGAGGTGGGCGCTGCACAGACTCTCCATTGAGGCCCCCCATCCAGCAGCCCGGATCCCTGTCACCTTGGCGGAAGGAAGGGGCTGTGGGGGCTCCAGAGGGCGGAGCAGGGCACCCCGGCTCTCTCCTGGTGCCTCCCCGCTCCTATTCATCGTCCCCCTGCCTTAGGTGCTGCGGGAGATGTGCAAGCAGGGTTACAGGGACGGGCTGCGTTTTCTGAGGCGCAACGGTGCGTGGGTGCCCCCTGGAGCAGGCGTGGGTGGGGTGGGCGGGCGTGGTGGCTCCTCGCCTTTGCCCCTGCTCCCGTGCTGATCACCTGTCTGGGGGGTCCCCACCCAGGCCTCCTGAACAGGCCCAACCCCCTGCTGGCGCTGCCCCCGGCCCGCCCCCGTGCCCCCGAGGATGAGGATGTGGAGGAGGCCCAGGGGGCCACAGAGAGGGCTCTAGCGGAGGGCCCCTTGAAGCCACCCCTGGAGGACCACATCCTGGAACATCTGCCTGCGAGGCTCAATGAGGGTGTGTGCAGCTGGCGTGGGGGATGGGGGTCCCTCGCTGGTGGGGAGCAGAGGAGCGGGG